TAAAGAATATACTTAGCAGTATTTTGAATGAGGCTATTAATGCTACTATTTCAAAACAAAAAAGATACTCAGGAGTCATTATAATTATATTTAGTAAAATTTTTGTATCTCATTAAAATTTCATTATACTAAACGTGAGAGAAAAATTAATAATATGCTTTATATGTGTATATATATAGATTGTGACACCAAAATTATAAATTTCTATCTTTGGCACTATCTTCATGTATATTTGTATCTATACATGATGTTAGTGGATATGGATATGAAGTTTCCTTACTGAGATATATCTGTATCTAATTCATATCTGTAAGTTAATATAAATATGATAAGTATGATATCTGATTCATATCCGGATTATATGCACTCCTAATCTGAGGGCCAACTACTAATTTACTACACTAGGTCAGATGCCACATGCCATATTAAGGATTTTATGAAAATGACAAATCAAAAAGGAGAACACACAGAAAACAATATGAATAAATATCTCTTTATTACCCATTCATTTTGTCTTTTGTTTTTTTTTCCATTTAACATGGATACAATTTCCCTGTTCTCATCTCACACGTTAGTCTGATTTTGGGTTAACGGTTATCACATTGATGCATTAGTAAAATATCTCTTTGGTTGTGTTGTCATAAAACCGTTAATTTTACTACCACTTGATGCATTAGTAAAAACAACCCAATATGCCTAATTTTTGGTTTACATGTCATCCGAATCATATAGATCAAAATGAATGGAGTGGATCAAATAAATCGATTACATATAATCTAATTTTCAAGGTGCATCCTTAGGTTCAATCTAAGGTGGCTCCTTAAATACATATTTTCCATATACATATACACACACAACACACACACACACACATGTATTGGCGACGGGGTATTGGCGACGGATTTGAAATCCGTCGCCAATGTTTGTATTGGCGACGGATTTATATCCGTCGCTAATGATTTTCCGTCGCCAATACTTATTGGCGATGGAAAAACATTGGCGACGGATCAAATCCGTCCGCCAATACTTTATTGGCGACGATTTCATCTGTCCCAATGTTTTTCCCACGGCCAATAAGTATTGGTACGGAACAATCACCCTCTAGACGATATAAACCGTCGTAAATACAACCACTTGCCTGCACGATTCAATCGTCTATTCAATACCCCGTCGCCAAATTAAATTCAGTTTCTACTATATATATATATATATATAAATTATTATATAATAGAATATATATATATATATAATATGATATATGAGTATGCCTTAGTACCAAACACAAGTTTTATCTTGTAGTAAGTACATATTCTCCTCCACTCATTAAAATCGGGCCGACATATCAGTGGTTGGAAGGTTAGAATTAGAATGACGTAGAAAATAGACACTTCACTTACAATGCCACAAAAATTTTTGCTTGGTACCAAACATACATTTATATATATATATATATATAGATATATATTATATATATAATTATAATATATATATATGAGAAAATCGAACACTGGGTAGCTTCCCTTACGTACGCTGCAGCTGTTTTTGAAAAAATCACTTCTCGCTCTTTATCTGACCCAACTCCCTAGGAAAACCCCGTTTGTGAAAAAATCCCCGTTTGAAATAAAAATTCCCTCGTGACCTCAACCCCCCTCTGTTGTCTCAAAGTCACCCAAAATTTCCCCTACCTCACTCATATCCCCAATCAGAATCGACCTTCACCACTAACTCTTGCCTCCTCCCTCCCTCCCACCCCTCTCTCTCTCTCTCTCTCTCTTCTCGACCCATACCCCTCCGTGACCACTTCTGCCTCGACCCTAACCCCCTCTCTCTCTCGCTTGCGGCCCAACCGGCCCGCCGCCGACCTGACCAACTCCGCCATCGACCAAATCCGCCTCGACCCCAACCCCCCTCTCTCTCTCGCGGCCCTAACCTTAGAGAATTTTTTCCTTGTCTGAAACAACTTCAGAGAATTTTTCTCATTAGAACATACAAGGTAATACAACTTCAATGAATTTTTTACTTCATAGAATTTTTCTCATTAGAACGTACCAGGTAAAACAACTTCAGAGAATTTTTCCTTGTCTGCATGTTATTAATTTAAAACGTACCAGGTAATTCATTATCATGCTAATTGTTTTTATTAACATGAATACAGTTAGAGCTAACATGAGTATATGTAGCAGATGTGGTGAACTCGATCATTATACAACTAGCTGTAAATTTAACTTGCCAAGGTACAATTAATATATTTTTTTCATGAAACTTCATAGCACAAATCCATATCTCATGATTAATTTGTCATGTATTTTGCAGCTAAACACATGTCTGGATACATGTGGCGTTTCTTGAGTACAGGTTGTTGGATTTGTTCATGTACGTATGTCTGGATTTGTTCCCTTTTCGCTTTTTGTTTGCTTCCATAATAAATTTTAGATTAGTTTCATAAAACTTCATAAAAATTCACATTTTAACTCATTTCATATATTTGTCATGAAATTTGCAGCTAGGTCAAGTTGTGGAGAAGAAGAAGAGCAATCTTGGGACAAAAAGAAAAGACTAATAGCAATTTTGGGAGTAATCTTGCAAGTTTTAGATATATAAGTGGATGTCAATTGCTATTTGAGATCTTCATGTGGTTGAAATGAGTCTTATGTTGTACTACTTAATTATTGAACGATGTAATATTTTGTAACATATATAGTATTCTTCAGTAACAGGTTGAAGATTTATGAATCAGCGAGAAAATAGGTGGGCAAAAGGAAAAGATAGACTGAAATGCACATGAATACTAACATGAGTTAAAGGAAAAGATGAAATATTGTAAGTATTACAACTAATACGAGAACATATAGAACTAACACGAGAACATATAGAACTAATATTAACTTAGCTAGAACTAACATGAATACTAGAACCAATGCTTATATAAAACTTGTGTTAGCTGGAGATAGAACTAATACAATAGCATCTAGGACTGACACCACAGCAGCTAGAACTAACAATAACTAAGCTAAAACTAATATAGCGTATATAACAAACACTTACACTAGAACTTACGCTAGCTGGAGTTAGAACTAACACGATAGCATCTAGAACCGACACCATAGCTGCTAGAACTGTAGGCGTCGAAAATTACCTATAGGTCTCCACGAACAGCTCGAAGCTAAGAGAAGATGATGAACATCACTATCCAAGTCACAGAAGCTTGATTAACATTAACGAACTCTTGAAGTGAATCGACGGACTATGTGAAGTAACGGAGTTTCAGAATAACGAGGACACGAACTGATCGGGAGCCCCGCGTCATTTATGAAAGGCGGAACACCCATCGTGTCTCATTTATTCCATAGATGATTCAATCATCGGAGCTTGTAGATCTCTTCGTCTTCTTTCCAACACACTTTGAATCACTCAAATCCGAGTTCGGATGAAGAAGTTACGGCGAAAACGGACTAGCACGCAAAACGGACTGTCTCAGCCTAAGCTAAGACACCCCGAAGTGTCTCGGCCCAACCGAGACACCCCAAGAGGCCGAGACACCCAAGGGTGTCTTGGCCCAAGCCGAGACACCCAAGGGTGTCTCGGCTCAGGTCGAGACACCCAAGGGTGTCTCGGCCTCGCTGAGACACCCGAGGGTGTCCTAGGGCCCCAAAAAGCAGTTTTTCGCTGATTATGCAGTTTTAACCATCTGGATTCCCCGGAGTCTATAAATACATCCCCATGACCTTTATTTTTAGGGATCTGGAATTCTCGAGCGTTGGCGAAGCCCTGCCAGGCTGAAGATTAAAGGTGCACGAATTTTAGAGAGGAGGAGGAGAGATCGGATCGAGTTCGTCGGCATAAAGAAGAGGAGCTCGTCAGTCTGCAGTTCTCATGTTCGTCCCTTAAGATTACCCCGTTATGGTGATCTTAAGAAGTACAATTATCTCGCTATTGCCGAGATAAGCGCTATAGCTTCTTGATTCCTTCACGAATCGACGAAGCTCTGCCTAATTTTTCAGCAATCAGATCTGATCGATGGTAGTCCACAGATATCACC